CCCCCCCACACGCACACAATACACCCCTTCCCTCCTCCCTCCCCTTCCACCACAACAGACTTACCAACTGGATGCAGCTGTATCAGAAATCGGATCGGTGTCAGCCGATATGCCTCCTTAAAAACTGGCTATTAGTATTGGCCCACAAAATCTCTATCAGTGCACCCCTATCTGAAAGGAATGCACGCTGGATAGACATGGCAAGGAAGTGACATTATCTCTATTTTACAGATCATATGCAGAAATAAGGAACATAGGGATTGTGTGATTTGTCCATGGTCCCACAGCTGATGGCAGAGCTAAGAAGTGAAGCCAGTTTCTACTCCAGGGACTCATCTAAAAGACACTCCTTCCAGATCTCCTAGTAACATTTTAAACCTATCAGACATTAAAGGAAATCTAATGATTTATAGAGACTTGTATAGATTTTTAAAGAGAGCTCGAGAATCCCTGACATTGAGACAGAACAAGGCAAAAAAAATTGCTGGACTATCTAAGGGAATTGCTCTTTTTGTGCTGATGGGACTTGCAGAAGGGAATAGAGCTGTCTTCATGCTGCTGTTCTCTAGCTTTTGCCTTCTCCCTTCTTCTCCTTTTCCCAAGCTCATCATTTTATTGACCTGGAAGTGCAATAACTTTCTCTGCATTTTTCCAGACACATATGCATGGACATCAGGAATATTCCTCCTCACCAGTATTCCAGATGCCAAGGACTTCAGTCAGACAGCCCTCAGCCCCACCTGCGCAGCTTCCACACAGCACTCTTCAGGGGCAGGGGCTCTGCTACACCACCAGTTCCACTGAGGACCTCCAGCCAGGACACTCTTCTGCATCTCTCATAAAAGCAATTAGAGAGGAGCTTCTACGCCTCTCTCAGAAACAGACAGCAGTGCAGAACTTCCACAGCTGATTTGTCATTCTCTTGCAAATCTGCCGGTCATGTGCTTCCTATGGAAGCAAAACTCGAACCAAAACCAACAACACAGTTCTTCTGTCATTAGAGTGAACTTCTACAACTCCAGAGAGAACACCTCAGAAAAAAAGCAGCAGCAGGAGGAGAGTGAGAGAAAAGCATTTGGGGAGAGATGGGGAGTCCACAAGCGGTCTTTTCACAGCTGGCTCTTTTAATGTATTAGCATTATTATGTCCACTTTAGTTTGATTTAACAATAAAGGTATAGGTCAAAATCTAATACTTAAATAAATAAAACCTCCAAGGTTTAACAGAACATGAGACTCCTTGTTTAAGGAAGAAGGTAAATGGTAAATGGTTGCATGTTACCAGCAGGATTGGACGGAGTGGACATTTCGTAAGAGATGACAAGAATTCCAGCCTCTGCAGCAATTCAGAGGGATGCGGTATGTGTTGCTTGCTTGGCAAGATGGCAAGTTATATGCGACTGGAGATGATGAAGGTGTGATCCCACAGTAGGAAATCACCTTAATAACAATACCAATAAGACAACTTAGAAAAAAGGATTTTTGAGCAAACCCGAACAATAACTATTAGAGCTCCTATGCTTCTAAATGGAGCTTACGCTCTGCACTCTTCCTTGTTTTACTTCTGGTGCTGATGCTTCAAGTGTCCCTTCATCTTACTGTTTGCAAAGTGAAACAATGGCCTTGTTTACCCAAGAATAAATCCATGGACTCATTCAGGCTGGGGAAGTAAAGCATCCCAAATGAAAAGGCTTGGTATTTATTTTGTTAAACGTACTGAAATCTAAATGAGAATTCTTAATTGCATTGAATTTTGGAGCAGATGTATGTATGTCTGTCTTTTAAAAACAAATGCTTTCACAGGACCAAGGATAAAATCTACTAGTCTGTGGTTTGCTACGTGGACAAAAGCAAGCCAGCCTAGTTAATACAGGGTCACCAGCACTAAGTTATACATTTGTATCACAAATCACCTCTTACATTTCATTCTGAATTGCACTTAGTGAAACTGAGCCCTGCAAAAGATGAAGCTTGGGGTAAAACTATTTAGAGTCTCTACATAGGTTCAATTTTCTTGTTTGAGACAGTGGAGAAAGGAGCCATGGTATTGATGGTACATGTCATGGAGTATCTGTTGTCATTTTTCTAGAGTTTAATTTATCATTAATAATGAGATTACTAATATTTGGCCATTGCATAGTTGTAACCAGCATAATATAAGTGAAAATTCAAAGTAAATTTTGCTTTGTTGGAGTATGTTTATTTTTAATCTACGCTGAAGTAAAGCTACAACCGTGGCAGGGAGACGGTGTAAATTAACATTTGTGAGGAAGATTAGGAGCCTCACTTTGGGACATGACGCAAGGAGCTGGGATTTTCAAACACTGGACCTGATGCCAGCAACAAATGATCTGACGACTTATGGTCCAGCAAGGTGGTCATGCCACGGAGGTGACTGGCATATAGTTGAACCTTTCTCACAGAAACCTTGCTTGGTCTGAACCAGTTTTGGGACAGTAGTAAGGTACCTGTGAGGCTACATGATGATTTGATCTCAGTTATGAGGCATAATTCATCTCTTGAATGGGTGAAACTGGAACTAAAAGAGCCATTACAGGGATCCTCATTACTACTTTCCAAAATATGTGCTAATGTAGCTCCTTGGCAAACCACCTGAAACAGGCAGGTGGGGAGTGAGCAACCAGTTGAACACTAACATTGGGAATGATCTGATTCCTTTTCCAGGGATTAGGAGAAATGTTACACCTTTGACCCAAGTTTTTTGCACGCACGCACGCTGGCCAGAAGGGCCCCCAGGTTACTAGATTTTGAATGCTTTTCAAGTTTTGCCTTTTGACTTGGTGCACAACATATATCATAGCTGATGCAAACACAGGCTGCTTTGATGCTTGAAAGATGAACTTCCGTGGTGAATCAGACTTGAAAACTGAGCTTTTATAGAATGAATTGATTTGGTCATTATTTATGAGATTCTCAAGAACTGTTCTTGAGCAGTTTCAAAAAAGATTCCTTTTCTTGCAGCAAAGTCAGCAACCTATGCTTGTGACCCCAGCCTTTCATTGCTGTCAGTACTGGAGCGCATTATGTTTTGACTCCAGACAAATGTGGGCTGCTAGGATGCAATATCATTATCAGATAGAAACAGCCATAACCAACAAGCGTAGGTTAGGATGAGGGGAAACTCTGAAATGGTTGAGAGAGGAAGTGGTTATGCCATAATCCTACTGCTCAGATTTGCCAGGGAAGACAATGTTGGCATATAACGTCTTTTTTTTTTTTTTAAGAGGTAGGAGAATCACCTTTTTTCCTACTTTGAGTATGGTAAATAACTTGTGATAATAAATAGATTTAAGTAAGTCTGATCAGGGTTTTTTTTCCCTAAAATAAAAGTAGTCCCACTTTAAGATCTGAGGAGTTCATTGGAAAATGCAATAGGCACAAATGCACTTGTTTTGCAGCTACAGCTCACTTTTTCAAACCTTCTAAAATAATCCTTGCTATATTGCCTTTTATCTCATCTGTCATTTGAAACCCTCTGCATAATACTTTCCTCCTTAAGAATGGCCTTAACAAGAAGGGTGCCCTATTTAATTTCTGCAACTGGTGCATAATTGAACAGGCAGGTTGTATGCATATGGCGTGACTGCTCTGTGAAGCTTGTACCAAGATATGCATTGTCCGCTTTAGAAACCAGGAAAATGGTCCAGTTTGCCTAACATTCGTGATTACCAGCTAACCCTTTATTAATCTGGTATGAAAGAAGTTAAATTAAAAGCTTCTCTTAATGAATCTCACCAGCAATCGTAGATACCGAGCAGGAGATGCCTAGGTTAGAAAAGGAAAATTCCTGCAAAATGGTTCTCTGGTTCTGAAGCATTTCTGTAAGAGTGGGTTTGGCTGGTTGGTGTCTGGTCCTCCTGACCATTGCAGGGAATCCTTTAAAGCGCAGCTAAAGGCAGAAAAGGGACAAACAATTCTTGTTCAGTACATCTGCTCTTCCTGTGTGTTCAGTCAGACTTTTTCTGATGTTTTCTGGCCACTTTTTATTCTCAATCCTGTGAAACCAATGTAGCTCCAGCAGAATGAGCTGAATGTTATTGATGCTCATACATCAGCTGTATTATTAACTACATTCCAGTTGTTGGTTCATTTTCTGTGCCCTGTCAGACACCTGAGCAACTCCATTGAAAACCACCGAGTTGCATAGGCATGCCTGAGGGGAATTTGGCTGACATTCTTTATTACTGGTCATGAGGCCAGAAAACATCCCATTTGACTTGCATCTCCCCGTATGAGCTTACTGGTATGTGGAATTAACTGAGGTGCAAGAATATGTCAGTCTTTTTAAAGAATCACTTTCCAGAACAGAAACAGAATTCCATGAACTCTGTTGAAGCCTAATCGACAGGAAAGTGACTTTAATAGACCTACTTATTCTTGCTGTCTTTTTCACATGGATAGCACACATTTCTCTTAGAATGGCTAAGCCTATCTCATTGTGAATAGTTCTTCCTGATAACTGGAGGGTGATTTAATTTAGAGTACATCTCCTTATTGCTTTGATCAGAGTTAAGTGTTGGCCTGTTAGGAGTGGGGAAATGTTTAAACATTTATTCTCAGGTTATAACTCTATAGATATTTGATGTGGCTGTTATGGTTTCACATTATTTTAGCCTTGCTATTGCTATAGACGTATACAGCAAGCTTTAGTGAATTAAGAATGGGGGAGAGATTGGGCACAGCAATTTGTATTGTCTAGGATTTCCTGTTGGATGCCAATAACAGCAGTACTCCTGGAATAGTACTGCCGTGTCAAGATCCCATAGTCACTTCCTTAAGGATTGTCCTGTGGGTTTTAGGCATCTCAGAATTGGCTTCTCTACCATGCTATATTTATCTGAGATGTGTTTTTTGATGCATATCTTTTGAAAGCAATAGTTAGAACTGCACTACTTGCCCTACAATGCAAACTTGTAAACTGATATGCAAAACAAAATGTCATTATATTCAGCAATACATTAACCTCCTGCACCTGAAAACTACACTAAAGTGAAATTTGGAAATTACTTAGCATTTGAAGCTGGAGCACAGCAGACAGTTGTAAATTAAGACACCCTTAATGAAGCTTAGCATTGTTATTAAACGTTGCATTGGTTGAAAGATTATCTACTGTGGGTGACTCAGGCACAGAAGTAGTGTTGCAAATGAATGCATGAATTTGTTACTGGAGGTCTTAAACCCATGTGACTCTGGGTAAAATGCCAGATCATTGGTATTGTAAATCCAGATGTGTACACATGGAGTGTATTTTGATGAAGCTTCTGACATGTTAGACATTTTTAAATCAATTTAGAGATGGGGAATGAGTTTGTTCCTTGCAGTAATGTTTTCATCTCTGAAATGCAAGTTGGGAGACTTTAAGCAGTATGCTGCCATCATTCACAATAGAAACTGAACAATTCTCTGTTCAGTGGAAACTATAGGAGAATATGGGTTTTTTAGCTAGGCAGAATCTACTTCACTGATCTGAAACTGAGCCAAGGCATTGTGCCTAACATTTTTGCACTTGTGGCCACTAAAAATCCTACTACATCTTTTATAAGTGCTTAAGGATACAGTACAACTTCATTATAACACAGTCTGTAAGAGTTTTAACAATCAGAACAGCTGGAATTGGTTAGTTTCAATATTATGATGTAGTGACTTGTACTGACTCTAGTATAGCAAACACCCTCCTTATTTTTTTTCCTGGTCCCGGGTGGGGCGGTGGTATTACTGTAATGAGACTGTATTGTTTGGATTTGCCTCCTCCAAAAGAGAGCCCTTCCTCCACAATACTTCAGTTTAGACTGGAGGTGAAGCATTCTTCGGTGACATTTCAGAAACACTCTGTGTTGGCTTAAGTCTGCCTCTCAAAGCCATTGGCATTTTTACTGGTATAAATGATTACACAAACCACAGACGATGGATGATCAGGCCTTGTGGCTCACTCTCAATAGGCAAATTATTCAACTGTAATTACTCATTAACCAGAAGAGAGTACGGGGGAAACTGCAGCAGTGTTCAGCTTATTCTGTCACATCATCAAGGAAGGATTCAGAAGAAAGGAATGTTTCTGATGGGAGAGACCATTGAGTCATGTCATACTAAAACATTTAAATGAAATCCCTACCATTTGATCCCCCAGCACTTTCCTGGGGGAAAAAAAGATGGTGATACATTTGTTAAAATGGTTTGTCATGGGAGTTTATAAACATTAACAAAGGAAAAGGAAATGTACTGGCTTTCACATTGGTTTAAGCTAAGGTTGTCTATTTGCTGATGTACAGAATGCTTTCCTAATGTATCTTAGGAGCTACTGGGTTATAGGTTGTTACCTCAGTAGCACCCTTTAAGTCTGAGGTTCTTCACTTAGGGCTTGTCCACATGTGGACACTTGAATACGTGGATGTAAATTAACTTTTAAAAAGGGATTTAATTTTTGCTTTACTTTGGAATTGAACTAAGCCAAATTGACCTGAGGCCACGCTAATTCTGAAGAAGAGTGCTCATGGCAATGTTTAATTTGAATCCACTTTGTATTTACAGTTTTAATTCATTCTGATTAACTTTCCTGAGTGCCCCATGTGTTCACAAGCTCTTCAAATGGACAATGTCTTGAGGGGTAGAGAGAGAGCAGATTCACCTTGTTGACTCTAACATACCCCGTTGCATGGGCCTACTTCCCTTCCCTTCCGTTACTATCTGACACCCCTGTCAGGAGCAAATAACCTGTTTGTTGCAGCTTCCTTGCTAAAAGGCCACTCACTGCAATACCAGTGGTCCATAAGATCAAAGTTTTGAAACCACTGTGCTGTTACATGGTGGTGGCAGATAACACAACCAGCTCAGAAAGGGACTGGATAAATTCAAGGATAATGGATCTACTAATGTCTATTGAACAGAACGGTTGGAGATGTTTCCTTTGGTGTCTCTAAATCTATAGGATGCCAGGGAAGGTATTGAATAGGAGACAGATAACTTCAGAGAGATCCAGTTCCATGCTTTCCCTGTACACCATCCACTTCTGCCCCATCTGGTCAGGATACTAAGTTAGATGGACCATTGGTTTTACCCAGTGTGGCACGTCTTACATTGTTATGTAATTGAGAGAGGCCATTACTGTAACGCTTGATTTTATTTTAGATGAAGAATGAGGAAGTGCCAGTGGCACAAGCAGGTTATCATAAAAAATGAGAATAGAGGATAGAACTAGAATAGGAAGTGGAGACGTCTAAGAAGGAACGAAAGCTAGGGAGTAATCAATATAGCATATCTTCCTCTAGGAAGTAAAAAATGGGAAGTGTGTTGTAGTTTTGAATTGTAACAGGAAATACGGGATGCAGGTAAGGAGTGTCATAGTATAGAATGCCACGTAAGCAGGAAATGTTGAAAGTGAAGGGAGTTGAAAGACTGCAGTGCAGAGATACGAAAAATGTTTTAAAAATAAAGTAATTGTGGACCTTAGAAACAGAAGAAAGAGCCAGGCTTGGCAAGGCAGGCTTTTATGTAGGATGATCTATATGTTTAAAAAATATATATGTATTTTAATAATTAGTAGTTACTAGGGCATTTCCCATGTTTAAAATGCTGTGCAAACTTTCACTAATGAATATGGAAGTGCTAAATGGATATTAGGAAGGTAAGAAATGGAGCAGGGAACAAAGTGAGGAACAAGATGAGGAAATAGATTTGCATAGAAGACGCGACTATAATTTCCCAAATATGTCTAGGCAAACTATGCTTAAATAATTGTATTCTGTTTTAGGAAGATGTAATGTTGCAGTAATGTGTAAAAAGTCTGCTCGAGTCCAAGATCTCCCTGATTTCAGCAGTGTCTTCATTTGGAGAAGTGAAGTTCATGTGACACCTGCTAAGTGGAGGATTTTGGTGGCTAATACAACTAATGCAGTGGTCTGTTGCTAATTATATTTACACTCCCACTATATATTCCATGAGTGGGAGATGCTTGCATAGGGGACAGATGATTGTGTCGCTGATGTTGGCAGATGAAGAAATTAGCAGTTCCCGGAGATGAGGAGAGGACAGTGGTGTAAGATTTGGGCAGTGAAGCAAACTTTATGCGTCATGGGATCCAGACTCTCTTTGCTTCTGTCCTTCCTCCTTTGTGTATGAGGTGGCTTTGTTTCTTGAAATTAAATTTTTGTTTCCTGTTCCAGTAAACTGCCCCCATCCCCCTATTGTTTGCCATTTTACCTGACAAAATTGCCCATTTCTTTTTAAATAATTGGCAATGAAATACTGCCATTTAATTTCCAATATTTAGGTTTCAAAGGTACCGTCATGATCATTAAAAGGTGGTTTATGCTTACAGCATTTGTTTCAAATTGTTTGCAGATTTAGGAAGATAGTGCTCAGTTCATGTCTGGGAGATTTTTTTTCAGGGTTCATATTGGAAACGCATTGAATCACAAGAGTACATGGGTGTGGAGCATAAGGTTCAGAGCATAATGGCTGTTGCCTCGTATGAATGGCTGATATTAAATATCTTGATTTTATTTAATGATAGCACTTTCATGAAACCTTAAGATTTAACTTCTGTGGTTTTAATGAAACTCTTAATATCCCAGTACAGATAATCTTTTCCCACAAAGTTAACCTCTGTCTTCACAGCTTATGTTCTCATGTAGGGGCTTGCCGATTTTCATCCCTCTGTTGATTCTGTAAAATGCAATCATTGTGAAGTGCAATGACTTAATATGTAGCTTATTCAGGAAAGCCCTAAGGAATATCCCCTTGATAGAAGCAGCAAGCGAGTAATGTAATTACTAGAGCAATGGTACCTAGAAAGATGAAGCGTCATGCATCAAGTGCTAATCAATTCAATCTTGAGTTACAGACTTGAAGAAAAACACTGCTCTGATACAGTTTGTTTGATCTGAGAGCAAATTAATGTAGTTACCATGGAATCATGCTGCTGCCTGTACCTATGTTTCCCAGTGGTACTTCTTGGTGTGAGAAGGGATGATCACTTGCATGCTTCCTGCTGCTTTTTTCATCTATTCCAATTTCTAGGCTAGCAACTTTACTGGATGTTACCTTCCCCTTTCTTTAGGTACAATATAATTCCGTGCCTGGAATTTAGCAACTTTATGCACCAGTCAAAACAAACGCAAGTAAACCTGCTGGCTGGACCAGCAGGATTCACGCTGGGGTTTTTCAACTGTCCTTACCTTTTTAACCATCCCGAATTCTGCCATTTTTGCCTTTCTTTGTCCTGGTGGCCAGTACCAAAAGTTACTGATGGTAATGACTGGCCAGTCATCCAGTCCATCTTCTTGCCCATGTAGGGTTGTTTTGTACAAGTGCAATAATACTCCAGTGCATTGACTAGTCAAGTACTACATGAATGGATCATTAAAGTTTGCATCACTACCCTTATGAGGACAGTTCAGTTTAATGGACCATGTGATCAGTTTGTATTGATTTTTTGCATGCTTTGTCTTAAACTTTTGAAAACTTAAAACATCTTGAACCATCCTATAGCACTATCCACTATGTACTTGCCTAGAATGAAGCTTCATACAGATTAAAAAATGAAACTTACACAGTAATTAATCAAACCTGACCTGTTGGTTTCAGGTTTTACCATGGAATTGAGGTTGGTGGGCTTACTAAACTGGACAGCACTAACTAAAAGCTGGGCTGGATCTTCAATCTGTGTAAATCATTATAGCTCCATTAAAGTTACTGGAATTATGCTCACTTGAATCACTGGGGGGGATCTGGTGGGATATATTTGTTATTAATGGCCTTGTTGCAACTGACTAAAAGCCTCAGTTTTCCATAAAGAGTACATTTATCAAAAGTGCTCTACTACAGAGTTGTCTTTTATCATAAAAATGAAAACTTGAACACTTTTTTGTATGCATCTTTAAATTAGAAACCCTTCATTGTGATTTTATTGGTTATAAAGCTTTTTTTTTTTTTTTTACTAGCCCCGCAACACAAATTGGATTGCCATCTGATTTTCAACTTTATAAATTACTTTAGCAAGTGTGACTTCATACAAAAAATATCTTTTTGGTTGTGCTTGGCTATCATACACTGCTGTGCATCAGCTATGATATGCTCTGCTGTGCATACAAGAGCTTATCAGTAAGGTTTCTATTCACCGTCGTATTATTTTTATTGTCTTCTGAATACAATCTTTCATTTTGCATTTTCTGCAACTGTGGTCCACCTTCTGAAGTCCCATTACTGGAAAACCAGCTGGCTAGTCCTCTTTTTTGCATGTCAGTTAAGTTATTACAAACCCAATTGCTAAAAATGACATGTATTATCGGTGCAAAATACAACATATACCTCAGTGACTTCCTCTGTTTTATAGAAGTGTTTTAATTGCACTGTAATTTTATTATATCCAAATAGGACAGAAGCCCAGAAGCTATTTGAATACCACCACATCTTTTAAGAACCCCAGAGCATGTTGAGTGTAGTATTATATGCAGGACTACATTTTCATTAAGGATCTGTCCCAAAACACTTTTAATCTGTGGAATGACTTCAATAGAAAAAGGCTATGGATCAGGTCTGAAATAGGCATATAAAAAGCATATGCTTTGCTGTATAGAGGTTTCTTAGCAATGCCCAATATTAAGGGGTCAATACACCTTGCAAACAAAGCCTTTTGCACTAGATCATAAGTTTACAGATGAATGGAGTATGGCATTTGTCTATTTTACAGCAAAAATTCTTGGAGATATCAGCTTTATAAACATAATTCAGATCCATGCTTTATTAAGATTAGCCTCTTGCCCCAAGCCAACAGTGTATAAAGTACATTTGTAGTGGGAAATTGTGCTGTACCAAAAGCTATGATTTTTTCTCCCAGTTAGCCATGGAAATACAGAGATATCCCACCATTAGTTGCATATAATCCCAGATCCCAAGGTCACTGATCCATTCTGACCTGGAGAAAATTTTTTGTAAAATTCATTACCTATGGGAAGAGTTCTGCAGAAGGTGAACACAAAGGTAATATGTGGAGTGTTTCACAATGTAAATGCCACATTACTGTCAGACCGATACACACATTCCATTATTAAAATAATCAACCAGGATAAACAATGATATTCTAGATATAGCTATAAGATTTGTGGTCCATCAGTAACTGCAGTTGTTAACAGTCAGCTCACCATTTTCAGTCAATGAAAAAGAAATCCTTTGTTTCTGTAAGTTTGTAAATATACAAGTTTATATATTTTTTGTGGAAATGAGTAGTTGGCGGGTCCAACACCAAGGTTTGTCTTGTGAATGTTACTTTTGATTTAATTACTGCATGTTGAAATGTTGAGTTTTTCCTGATGAGCATTGTTTTGTGATTGTTTACTACTGGTATTACTGTGCATGTAAAAAAAAAAAAAAA